CGAGTAAGTTTGAAAACTGTAATTTTTCCCAAAAATCCTTTCAATAATAAATAAGATATTTCATTTTCTTTCCAGATAGCAAGTGTGAAATACCTCTATATGCCTGCCAATATGTGTGAGAAGTCATGAATGACGTGCTACCGTACAGCATGAGGAAAATGCATCTCAATGCTTGTGTGCATGTCAATGCAATGTATCTCAGAGATAAACTCATGTACTCACACTCTCAGAGTACTCAATCTCACTATCTCACACTTTCCACTCATCATGCTCAATCACTCAGTACTGTATATGGCCAATCCGGCCCAGGGAAGATCTATCCCGACATATATACGTCAACTGACCATCAGTCACTCAGTACTGAGAAGGGCCAAATCCATCACGTAGGGAAGATCCATCCCCGGGTATACAAATTCTTCAGAAAAGACCCATGTCCAAGGAAGATCCATCTCTCAATATAATCAATCGCTCATTAGGGGTGTGTGCTGACTCCGGAGGGGCTCCTTCATCCCAAGCGCTATCATAAATCAGTATAACCGCTACGGCGTGCAGCCCTATCCTATAAATATCACTCATAATCAGGCCCTCGGCCTCACTCAGTCATCAATCTCTCAGTCTCTCGGGCTTAGAATGCCATAAAACTAGCCAAAATGATGATATGATGTGTCAATAAATGGTAACAGAGACTGAGATATGATATGCATATGAATGCGTATAACTGAGTACATAAAGCAATGAAAGCATATAACTCAACAGCGAAAATAAACTCAGTGGGTCGCAACAAGATAAGCATGTACCCTAGACATAGTTTCTAACATGGATCACAGCTCCATAGCTCAAGTTCATAGAAATTTCATGGTTATAGGCAAGATCAGGTAACTACACAGTACCACAGAAATAGCGGAGTCAGAATTCACACGGTGCACGCCCACACGCCCGTCACCTAGAAAGTACATCACCTCAACACCAAACATATAACACGTAATTTGGGGTTTCATACCCTCAGCACCAAGTTCAGAAGTGTTACTTACCTCAAACAAGCCAAATCCAATACCCAACAAGCCAAACGATGCTCCAAAAATGCCATCCCGTACATATCGACCTCCAATCGGCTCAAAACTAGCCAAAAGCAACTCAAATACATCAAATAATGCCAAAGAAAACAAACCCAATCGATAAAGGTCAAATCTTTAATCAAAATTCCAAAATTGACATAAAAGTCAAACTCGGGGCCTGATAAGTTAGGATTTTACCATGATTATACCCCTTACTTGCTATTGCTTTTGTTACAAATTGCCACAAAATAGTCCCAAAAGGCTTACAAGTTGTGCTTGATTGCAGGTTTGAGCGAAAAGGTGACAAATGTCAAAGATCGGCTCAAAACGGAGTGAGACTTGCCAAGTGTCAAGAACAAGTGAAGTTGAGGAACAGGAAGACCTAGCGCGGACCACACTGATATGCCACGCGGCCGCGCTAGGAGATTCAGAGAGGGGTAAATTGAAGTGCAAGCCATGCGGCCGCACTCTATTTCTGCGCGGTTCGCGCAAGGGAAGTTCAGAGAACCACCAGTGCAGGCTTAAGTTCCACGCGGCCGCGCTACATATCAGTGCGGTCCGCGTGAAGGAGATTCAGAGGCCTGGAGATTTGACCAAGTCAAACCATGCGGCCGCGCCCCATTTCTGCACGATCCGCGCCGACCCTCCGCCGCGGCCGCGCTACATTTCTGCGCGGTCCGCAGCCCCCCAACTTCAGAGATGAGATTTGAGAGTTCAAAGAGCCTACACGGCCGCGCTACCTTTTTGCGCGGTCCGCGCTGACCCCGCAGGGGTATTTTTGTCCAGATTTTTCAGCTCGGTATAAATAGATCTTTTTACCATTTTTAGGTCAAGTTTTAGATTCTGAACAAGAGCTGTGCTCGTGGGACGTATTTTGTAGCCTATTTTGGCAATTTTCCTCTTCAATATCATAATTTCTAATTAGTAATCAATCATTATGTTATTTTCATCATCTATTTCTTCTGTTTCTTCACTAATTATGTCTAGCTAAACCCATTAGCTAGGGTTGTGGCTCAACCCTAGTGTGGGTAGTTAATGGGTGTTGCATTCTAGGGTGAGATTGAGATTGGGTGTTTGTTATTTGGGTTAATTTTGTGTTTCAATCTAGAATTTGTGGTTGCAAACATGAATTCAAGCTTAGTGGGTCTAACTCTTCTTGAGAAAGAGAGTCTATGACCCTAAAGTTGACCCAACAAGGAATTGGGATGGACCCATGAGAATGGTAGTCCCAATTAACGGGTTAAACCTCGAAAGAGTAACTACCCTACTTGAACCCTAGTTGCCTCGTCTAATTGGCCTACCTAATTGGTCTCGAGAGAGTCAATTGGGCAAAATCGTTCTCTCTACCGAGAGGTGTGAGAATGAATACAATTGTGCAACGGTTATAGCATAAGCCCCAAATTATCAATCTCCCCTTAGTAACTTCGACCCGTTAGCCAGCCACCTAGGTAGTGTCACGACCCTAGTGCTTTTCTCCATAGTTAATACAACTTAGCGATATTTCCTTAGCATAATTTAGCTTTAATCCTTAGATTACAATAGTAGTTTTAAATATAAAAACCCCAAAAATGTTTGGAGTGCATTAGAAGTACAACCGCAATTCTAGGCTAGACAGCTATTCAACTCCTTTCCTAGCTCCCTGTGGAATTTCGATCCCGATCTACTATTCGGGTATTAGTTGTTGCTACCCGCTCTTCCTACCATTGTGCAGAGTTGAGACGGCTGCGATCACTTTTTGGCGCTGTTGCCGGGGAGCTTACGGTGTTGACTATCTGTGTAGCTAGTTTCGTGTTTTGCTTCTCTTTCCCTCTTGTTTACTAATTTTGTTTGTGTCGATCTATCAGGTACAAATGGCTCTCAACGGAAATGACCCTCTTGGCAATGTTTTGGCGGGGGAGGAGGTTGAAGATATTGATCAAGTTGAGCTACCGGCACCTCAAGTACCACGTAGAGGTAGAAATGCCAATGCAAATCTGAATGGGCAAATCCCAGACCCTCCTCCGCCACCGCCAAGAGTGGCTCCAAGGGTGCCGCCAAATCAAGGGTATGCTAGTGCTATTGTTCCTCCCCGAATCCGGGCAGGGAACTTTCAAATTAC